CAAGTCAGTGACAATGAATGGTTATGGCTGGCCCGGTGCTCAGCAATGAACCATCCATCGCAGGGCATTCGCACCGGCTGTTTTGCTGCTCAGGCTTCCCCTATAAAAAAGGAATCTACCAGTTGCAGTTAAGGCAGTCGCATAGCCAGTGATCAAGCGGATTAAAATAAAATGTAAGTGCTTGCGAGTGTTGTGTTATATGTACTGACCAAGCATCCACACAATTTCCTACATACACTTTGTCCGCTCGACATTCAGATGGCTCTTGCCATATCTTATACCGAATTTGAGCTCCCACAAATAATTAAAGGTTGTAGAAATCATACACTTCCCTGAGAGAGTCAAAACTCATTCCAATATCAGCGTACCTCCTGATTGTTTCTTCTAATGGAGTAACTCCCCCAGGGCATGGTTTTCTGTCAGCAGGTGCACGGCCAACTCGCAACATGCAAGAGAAAAATATCCCAAGTTTTGTAGATGATATCTCAATTTAGAGCAACACCTTTTTTTATCATGGTAAAACCTTATTTTACTGATCAGTGACACAACCCACCAGAGAACAGTCCATGCTTCTGCGACAAACGGATTAGCATTGCATTTTACAACTACTACCTCCGTACAAAGACGTCTTATATTTTGGTACAGAGGGCTTACATGGCAAGGCATCCAAATTGATATCATAATTTTCATATCACAATTCTAGCAGAGCACCGAATTCCTTGATTTTGTCTAATGGTTTTCTTTTTACCTTCAAAACAGACCAAGCTACCTGTGTCAAACGGTTTAGGATTTAAAATCGCACCAGGATTTCTCTATTAAGTGACTTAAATTAATATTTTGCCGACATTGGGTTTTAAGGGGCTACCAATCGACCCTAGTGAGCACAAATTCAGACATCTCCTAAAATGACAAAGGCATGTAAATTGCAGAGTCATCTCACCTCCTAGTCCACCTAGGGGCCTCTGGCTTCACTTTCCCGGTGGATTCCACGGGCTGTGTCAGAGACTCCTTCCTCTTGCCGCCTGTGTCATGTTGGCCAGCAGCGCCATCGAGGTGCCCCACCACAACAACACACGAAGAGTCACCGCCGGGCGTAGCTGGTGGCTAAACCCCCTTAGTACCAAAGGATCTGGCTGCTCAACGTCCACAATCACCTCTCTCGGTGGGAACCTGCGTCGTGATTGGCAAACAAAGCCCGCCGTCAGCATCAGCAAAGTTCGTAAGCGTAGGGCGAGAAACAACATCAGAGTAGGCCCGAGCAAGTACCTGTCTAACGGATCCGGCAGGAGCTTCAGTCCGTTGTCAGCCATGGCAGGGACTGCTTGAAAGTTGCTCGCCACCGACATGGCTATCAGTGCGCCAGAGATATCGGGGGGAGGGGATATCAAGGGGCATATGGCTTGCGGGGAGGAAAGGCGAAATGAATCGAGTGGGTAAAGATAGTTCCAGTTGACCCACGCTAAATCGGGCGCAAAAGCAATTACTGCTCCATTGACGGAACCGTCTTCCAAGGAAATGACGTTTCATCCAACCTGATCCACCGGACAGTTTCCTGGTCTCTACTTATCCGACCATAGAGATTGTGCAGTGTCCGTTTTGTGAAAGGCACATTCTGGGTTGAACCGAAGAAGCTGCCAACTATGTTGTACACCTTGTTTAGGTTCACATTGTTCCCCTTAGTTGCTTCACCAAATCTTTCGTGTACACATCTATGTGCTTGTGCAATGGCCAATGAACTTTTTCACCACAGGTCAGAGACAATGAATGGTTGTGGCTGGAGCGGTGCTCAGCAATGTACCATCCATTGTCTGCAGCTCTAAGCAATCTGATCATTGCAGGACACTCACACCGACAAGACCAACTATTCTGCTATTCAGGTTTCCCCTGCAAAATGATTTTTTTCCTGTGTCAGGTATATGAATCCAATCCAAGCATTATGTAAAAAACTGCCAATTTTTTATATATGGTATTAAGTGCTAACTAACCATCCGCAAACGATCTCCTGCATACACTTTGTCCGCTCAACATTCAGAAGGCTCTTTCCATATCATATACCGAATCCAAGCTCCCAAGAATACAGGCTATAGAAAATCATATGCTTCCCAAAGTGAGTCAAAACTCATCCTAATCTCTGGCTTCACCACATTCTCCAAGGGTTTATCATCATACCTCATGATTGTTTCTTCTAATGGAGTCGCTCTGCCTGGACAGGTGCCCTATCCGGAGGGGCGCGACCAACTCTTAACCTGAAATTAAATTCACATTCATTCAGATGATGCAATAATATTTTATTCAATAGCCTGGAGGGCATGTTCTTTCGAGTTTCATTATAATCGTTCACATGATATGCCCAGAAAACAGTATGCATGCCAATTCCATGCGAGGATGACATGATTTGACGCATAAACCATTTGGGAAGCTAAATTGCATGAATGAATGACTGCCACAGCCAGAGGATCAGCTACTTGGCAGTAGTACTAATGCACATTGGACATCCATCGACATAGGGAATAGGGAATAAAAAACAGAACCATTTATACAGAAAAGAAAAACACTCAATTATATGTATACCTTCAGGTCCACCCTGGTGCCTCTGAGTTCACCTTCCCGGTGGACTCGGCGGACTGACTTGGAGACTCCTTCCTCTTGCCGGCAGAATTGCTCTGCTTAGCAGTGCCCCTGAGTTGTCCAAGCACAACCGCGCACAATGATTCGGCGCGTCTCAATGCCGATGGCCCAACAACCATGGAAACGAATGGATCTGGCTGCTCAACATCTGCACTTATCTCTCTGTAGTGGAATCTGTGGCAAATTCAAGAAATTAAAGAGCGGTCACTGACCATTTTTTAAAATTCAAAATAACAGTTTCTGAGATAATGTGATCAATTTTCATACAACAGTGATACCGTGTTTTTTGTTGCATTTACATATGGATGGCATGCTATGCCCATAGAAGACTAAGGCCGCGTTCGGCTCCTCTCCGCTCCCTCGACTGCGCTCCCAGAGCGGACTGGTCTGTAGCTCATTTTCAGGGAGCGGCTAAAATCGAGCTCCGCAGCTCCGTGGAGTCAGCAATATTGGAGCGGGATGGAGGGATTCCGTACAGGGTCTAAGTATTCTAATTTCGCGCATGGTTGGCATGGTCTAACCGGGAAGCATTATATATGCTAATTGCACGCATGGTTTATTACCCGAATTATAGGCTCAGTTTCAGAAAAAGAAAAAAAAAATCATAGGATCAGCTTGTTGACAGTAGTACTCATGCCCACTAGACAGAGAATTAGGCAATAAAAAAATCAGAACCATGGATCCAGAGGAAAAAACACTCATTGTTATGTATACCTTCTGCTCCAGCCTGGTGCATCTGGGTTCAAAATCCCGGTGGACTCGACGGACACAGACTGAGTTGCTGAGTGCTTCCGCATCCGTTATAGGCAAATTTACAAACGGGCGCCTGCAGCGCCGCCGGCCCAATAGTGTGTATTCTCGACGTACGCAAAAATATGAGGGCGCTCACTGAGGATCGAACCAGAGACCTCCCAAATGCAGCTTGGTTCGTACTACCACAGCGCCAGCAAGCGGGAACTGATAACTTTCAACTCTTCATTCTTCGTTCCTTCCCTCCCGCTTTTTTCTTTTTCATTTTTCCGTTTTCCTTTTTTCCATTTTTCTTTTCTGATTTTTCTTTCTTCTTCTTCCTGGTTTATTCCCTCGTCGATTTTTTTCGTTTTTTCTATTTTCTTAAATGCATGAACTTTTTCAAATCGATGGTGTTTTTTCTTTTCAAATTTGATGAACTTTTGTTTTAAAAATCAATGATTTTTTTCTATTTTTAGTTAACTATTTTAACAAATGATGATTTTTTTCAACTTCGATGAACTTTCTTCAAATCTGATGAACTTTTTTCAATTTGGTGTGCTTTTTTCAAATTCAAAAAACTATTTTCAAATTCGATGAACTTTTCTCAAATCCGATGAACTTATTTTCAAATTTGGTGAACTTTTTCAAATTTGATGAAGAATTCAAATTTGATGAACTCTTTTTCAAATCCGATGAACTTTTTTGAAAAGTTGATGAACTTTTTTAAATTCAATGAACTTTTTCCAAATTCAGTGAACTTTTTTTAAAAAATTCGATGAACTTTTTTCAAATTTGATGAAGAATATTCAAATTCGATGAACTCTTTTTCAAATCCGATGAACTTTTTGAAAAGTTGATGGAGTTTTTTAAATTTGATGAACTTTTTCCAAATTCAGTGAACTTTTTTTTTAAATTCGATGAACTTTTTTCAAATTTGATGAAGTTCGATGAACTCTTTTTCAAATCTGATGAACTTTTTTAAATTCGAGAACTTTTTCCGAAATCATTGAACTTCTTTGAAATCCGATGAACTTTTTTAAAATCTGTGAACTTTTTTCAGACTCATGGTCGTTTCATTGTTGTGAGCTTTTTTAAAAAAAATTGTCCACTTCTTTTTTTCATTTCATGAACTTTTGTTTTTGAATTCGTGAACTTATTTGAATACATGTACCTTTTTTACATTGGCCAACTTTTTTTTGCATGTTCATGAACTATCCAATTTGTTTTACATTTTTTCCATAAATTCACATTTTTCATTAATGTTCATTTTTACCATACGTTCACGTTTTTCCTCAATGTTTTCAAATAAACTAAAAAATCTAAGCGAGATATGTAGCACTGCTACGCTGGTTCTTAAATAAAATCACGCTGAAGTGAATCACTAGCAGCCAGTAAGTCTACTGGTTTGCTAAACGTGAAAACTACTGTGAGGTCGCGAGTTCGATTCACTGAGAGCCACCTTTTGAGATCTTTTGCGCATAATAATATATATTTTTCTTCGCGCGCGTTCATGGGCCGGCCCACCAAGAGCCGCCGCCGCAGGCGCCAGCTGCCTTCCGTTCAGCGCCGAGTAGGCGCTCCCGCCGAGTTCTCCCACCAGAACCGCGCACGACGAGTCGGCTCTTGCCGGTGCCGACGGCCCAACAGCCATCAAAACTAATGGATTTGGATGCCCATCACCGACAATGACCTGTCTTAGTGGGAATCTAAGAAATCGAATACAAGTCAAACATATATTTGTGCTTGGGCGTGTCTGGATTGAATCGAACAGATTTATACAGTTCAGACATTACCGGATCTAGCAGAAATTCGAGCCAGTTGTGGCGTAGGCTTGCAAACTCCGCCATACCATTTGCCGCCGCCATGGTTTCGCTTTCCGCCATCAAGATAGGAAGGTTGTGGGGAAGGGGAGAAAGGCCCTGTGTATGCAGTCACACTTCGTCGCCGCCGCAAGCGCCAGCTGCCTTCCGTTCAGCGCCGAGTAGGCGCTCCCGCCGAGTTCTCCCACCAGAACCGCGCACGACGAGTCGGCTCTTGCCGGTGCCGACGGCCCGACAGCCATCAAAACTAATGGATTTGGATGCCCATCACCGGCAATGACCTGTCTTAGTGGGAATCTAAGAAATCGAATACTAGTCAAACATATATTTGTGCTTGGGCGTGTCTGGATTGAATCGAACAGATTTATACAGTTCAGACATTACCGGATCTAGCAGAAATTCGAGCCAGTTGTGGCGTAGGCTTGCAAACTCCGCCATACCATTTGCCGCCGCCATGGTTTCGCTTTCCGCCATCAAGATAGGAAGGTTGGGGGGAAGGGGAGAAAGGCCCTGTGTATGCAGTCACACTTCATCGCCGCCGCAAGCGCCAGCTGCCTTCCGTTCAGCGCCGAGTAGGCGCTCCCGCCGAGTTCTCCCACCAGAACCGCGCACGACGAGTCGGCTCTTGCCGGTGCCGACGACCCAACAGCCATCAAAACTAATGGATTTGGATGCCCATCACCGGCAATGACCTGTCTTAGCGGGAATCTAAGAAATCGAATACCAGTCAAACATATATTTGTGCTTGGGCGTGTCTGGATCGAATCGAACAGATTTATACAGTTCAGACATTACCGGATCTAGCAAAAATTCGAGCCAGTTGTGGCGTAGGCTTGCAAACTCCGCCATACCATTTGCCGCCGCCATGGTTTCGCCTTCCGCCATCAAGATAGGAAGGTTGGGGGGAAGGGGAGAAAGGCCCTGTGTATGCAGTCACACTTCGTCCAACGGTCAACATTTACTAATCGTTGACGGCGCTGTGTACAGGTCACGAGACGGCGAGCATACGATTCTGATCCACGCACTACTTTTCATGACGGAGGCGAGCCACGGCTCGGCTCGTCACCGTCGCCCGCGGGCTTCCGTACGCCACTGTTCGCCTGTGTATTACGTCAGACAATCTATTTTCTTACTCCCGTATTATGCCGAACGGTCCCACTGGATCAAATCCCTAGACATGTACGTACAACCAGGATAACATGTTCAGATGCCACCGCTCTCAGTAACGCCGCTCTCCATGTGGCACACTATCCCTATAGCGTTAGTGTACCTTTGAAGTAGATTCCTAATATATAACTCACATACATACATGTCCACATCCGGAAAACGCGGTTATCATAGGTAGTGAGCAAAGTATATGAACCTAGGGATACATCTGGTGTTTTCAATAGGATTAGGAATATATACGATTCAAAATTAACCCTAATTGGGGCAGTTTCAACTTGTATAGTGTGTCAAGAGGATTCTAGTCATAGTGATTGAAGACGATATTCATGAAAATGCTACACCCAATTGCACAAGTGATATGGGTTGTTCATGGGAGGAAAGACAGAGAGGAGGATGAAGGGCACACACGATATACACTGAGTCGTGCTTGGTCATAAAAGAAATGTTGACCAATTTGCCTATGTGTTTTATGTTGTTTCATAGCAATGGCGAGCACTCGGCTAGTCTAGGTAAAATAGGACCAAGGAGCATCGACTGGCAGGATGCATATTAGTGCGGATCTTACGGCAGGTGGACCGTGGATGTACAACCCAAGCAAACACACAAGCAGTTTGTTGGAGATTTGATATTCAATGCGCCTTTTCCACTGTGCAGGCCAACACTCCCATTTTTGAAGTATCTCCTAGTAACACAAGAATATTTGCATTTGTGCCCCTGCTTCTACAAAGCTCGGTGATTTTTGGATCCACGTTTGTATAGTGCTTTTTGGGTTTGTTCTTTACCTGCCTTGGTGTCCATATCACATTAGTAGGTTCACGTGAAAAGGGCCTCAATGGCCACTTGTTTGCCTCTTGAAGCGTTTATTGCAATGGCGTCTTGGGTCTCGCAGTTTCTACCTTTTGAATGATAATTGGTGAAGAATAGTCAGATAAACCGTTTGACCATTTTTGACATACTCACTATGTGCGTACGGTTTATACGTTTTTTCAGTTTGTATGTGTCGGGGGCGATGCTGATTCCCGCCAACACCTATGGGGACAGGGCCCCTTTTCGGTTCGGTGGGGGGCGGAGAGCGCACAAAGAGCGGATCGAGGCAGTGCACGCGGGGAGATTTTTACCCAGCTTCGGGCCGCACGGATGCGTAAAACCCTACTGCTGCTTGTTTGTGTATATTGAATTCTTGCTCAGGAGCGATGGACGCTGCCAGACTGAGCGTAAGAGTGTCTCTGGTGTTGAACGAGCCGAGCTGGCCGAGTCTCTGAACTCCCCGACCCTCGGAACCCTTTCTACGTTGCACTAGGGCCTCCTTTTATACTCAAGGCGTCACCGACAGGGGGCAACGTAGACAAGAAGGGTAAAAATGGAAAAGGATGTGGTAGGTGCAGCTACCGCTACTGTGGATACAGTGCACCCTACCTAACTCTGACGGCAGGGGACAAGGGCATTAAATGCCTGTCTGAGTCTCCTAAACAGTGCAAAAGGTGACCGTTAGGAGTGCCACCATTTGCCACGATGGGCTTCTCTTTATCTCCGCTTGCCACCACGTACCCCTAGCTGCACGGCCTCCCGCCACGTGCGCTCTGGGAGAGTCCCAGAGCGACACGTTAGCAGGTGAGCTGGAGCTCGGGCATGCAGTGGGGGTTTCCCGCGGCAAGCTCCTTGCCGCGGCCGTCGTCTTGTCGCGTCCGGAAGCTTGTCGCTCGCCGGATCTTGCTGGGACGCAGGGCGCGTCGCGGCAAGCTTTCTTGGTATGTCTTGAGTGGCCTTCCTGACAAGCTCCTCTTGCCGGGGTCTTGTCTCTTCCCGGCAAGGTCCTCTTGCCGGGGCCTTGGTTGGCCTTCCCGGCAAGCTCCTCTTACCGGGGCCTCGGTTGGCCTTCCCGGCAAGCTCCTCCTACCGGGGCCTTGGTTTGAGTACTTTGTTCTTGAATGGTCTTCAAGGGAACCACGGAGGGTCCTGGCGGTCACCCGGCAAGCCTTGCCGCGGGGCACTGCAACTGCCCGTGCACGAGTTCGAGGTAATAGGGCACCCCTACTCTAGTACACCGACAGGAGCCCCGGGGCCTGGGCCATACACGGTGCCGAGCGCTGTTGGGCCAGGCCCAAAACAGTGCACGGGCACGCGCGGCCTAGGTCACGCCGAATCTAACTCTGCTCCCACCGCGCACGCCCAGAACGGCACGCGTCAAACGCGACGTCGTGGGAGAGATCGTGGGAGTTTGTTCACTTGGAAGGCCGAAACGTCCGCCCCGTCCCTCTTTATAAGCAGGGGAAACAGGGGCATTTCCTCCATCCTCGCCATTTGCTGTTGCAATCTCAGAAGCCTCCGCCGCCCCCCTCCGCTTTCGAAGTCGAAAGAGGGCAGCGCTCCGCTCCCGTCGCCGCCGCCACCACCAGCGCCGTCGATCTCCCCCATCGCCTCCGCCATGCCTCCGAAGCCTGGAAAGGGGAAGGCCACGAAGGCCGCGACCGCGAAAGCTGTGAAGTCGACCGAAGCGCAACGGCTTGAGGCGCTACGGAAGGAGCGGGCTACTTTCCCCCCCGAGCTCTCCGCGGAGGAGCTGAGGGAGTGGTACTATCTCTTCTGGTCGACGGAGACGCGGGCGCATCCGCGCACAAAGGTACTCTCCGCCGTCGCCTCGCGAGCAGCTCCAGCTAACGGGTATCCTTTCTTCGCCGTGTTCTTCTACTGCGGGCTCTGCCCGCCATTCTCTAATTTCTTCTGTGATATTATGAACACCTACGGACTCCACCTCCTTGATTTCACCCCCAACGCTGTTCTGACCATGGCAGTTTTCGCCCATCTATGCGAAAACTTTGTCGGAGTCCACCCCAACGTAGCTCTCTTTCGCCATTTCTTTATGCCTCGTGTCGAGAGAGGGGAACCTCTTGCCGGCGGGATTGCCTGGATCTCGCGGGCCGGCAAGAAGGAGACCTATCTGGAGGGGGAACTCCGCAGCAAGTGGGACGAGTGGAGAGCAGATTGGTGCTGGATTGTAGAAGAGAGCCCGCAGCCGTTCACCGCCCTGCGCCAAGCCTCAGCAGTGGGCGGCAATGACTGGAGCGCTCTGTCCGCGGATGACGACAAGCTGACGATCGCCACCACTCGGATCTTGCGTCTCAGGCTTGCCGGGTTGACTGTAGAAGCTGTCGGCGCAGATTTCCTTCACCGGCGCATCGCCCCTCTGCAGGCGAGGGGGAGACCTGCCTGGGAATTTGGAGGCCCGGCGGATATAATGAGGTTGCATCCAGGCCTTAACTTCAATTTCACCGTCCTAGAGTTGGACGGGATGCTTAAGGAGATATTCAAGCATGACCCACAGCATCCCGAGTGGTTCAGGTTGCCGGCAGGCATCGTTCCTCTGTGTAACAACTCCTCGCGCGACCGCATCTGCGCAATGATGCCATTGTGTGACTCGCACGGGATCGCTCCAACTTGGCAAGAGCCCGCCGGCGACGTCGTGCAGCAGTTCTTTGGCAGCCTCGTGGAGGTGGCGGTCAATGCTGACGAGAAGAAGCTCCTCACCCGCGACACCACTGAGCAAGAGATGGAGCGCATCGCCACCAGGGCGGAAGAGGCGGCGGCAGCCGCGGCCGCGGGTGAATTCGGGTTCACCATGGAGGAAGCGGACGCGGCGTTGGCGATGAGCATTGCCGAACGGGAGCAGCCCGAAGAGGAAGAAGAGCTCGCCGCGCCCGACGC